CTGGGGGTGTGGCGCCTGAGGGTACTGTGTCTGGAGGTGCTGAGCCTGCGCGTGTTGAGTCTGGAGGTGCTCTAGGTGTCCCGTCGCGGCGGGAGCCCCTCTCTCCACAGCGGCTTCGTGAGTGGTACTCTCGGCGCTGTCGGGTTGCTGCTGGAGGTGCTGCTGGTGCAGGAGCTGCTGGAGGTGCTGGCGCTGCTGGAGGTGGTGCTGGTGCTGGAGCTGCTGGAGGTGCTGCTGGTGCTGGAGCTGCTGGAGGTGGTGCTGGTGCTGGAGCTACTGGAGGTGCTGCTGGTGCTGGAGGTACTACTGGAGCTACTGGAGGTGCTGGCGCTGCTGGAGGTGGTGCTGGTGCTGGAGCTGCTGGAGGTGCTGCTGGTGCTGGAGCTGCTGGAGGTGCTGCTGGGACTGGAGACCCTGAGGCTGAGGGCACCGGTTCTGTCTCTGCTGTTTGTGGAGGCGATGTGCGGCCGCGGCCGTACTACGTACCGCTTCTTCAGCAGGTTCTTGGCTCCCCGCCTTCTCCTGGTCCTCCTCCTCCTTCCCTGAGTCCACCGCCTGTCCCGTCTCAGTCGCAGTTACAGCCGGCCTCTCCGCTGCCTAGTCCTTCTCCTTACTCTGGTCCGACTAGAGGTCTTACGGAGCGTCGTGAGCCTGAGTCGCGTCCTGTGTCGCCTGCGTCTCGTTCTGCGTCGCCTGTCCGTTCTGTTCGCGCTGGTCGTGTTTCGCGTCCGCGTCTTCCTCCTGTCCCTGGCACTCACTCTATGACTCTGCGTCCTTCCACTGCTCCACAGCGTGTCCCTCTCCCCTCTCCTCCTGCGTCCTCTCTTCCTGACGGTCCGGACCCGGAGTCTGACTCCCTTCGTGCTGCTAGTCCTACTGTCACGCGCTTTCTGGCCACTGCTGTCACTGACCCCCTGTTTGAGTTCTCTGCTGCGTCTGCTCTTGTTGCTGAGCTTGTTGACTTTGCTGCAGCCTGTCGCCTAGACTACGCCGCTAGTCTTGTTGCTGAGTCTGCGTCTGTGTCAGTCTGTCCTCCGTCCGTCGGGGGTGAGTGTGCTCTTGGCACGGACGTCCTTGAGGACAGGTAGGAGGACCTTGAGTGTTTTGCTGCTGCTTCACCTCATCTCGTGTCCATGCTGCTTGCCCCTGAGCGAGACCCGGATGCACTAGACATCCCGACCCCGCGCTCTTACGCAGAGGCGATAGAGGGTCCCTACTCCTCTCAGTGGCAGGCAGCCATGGACGCAGAGATGGCTTCCTGGAAGTCCACAGGCACCTACGTAGACGAGGTTCCCCCACCTGGGGCGAACATCGTCAGTGGCACATGGATCTTCAGGGTGAAGCGGCCGCCGGGTTCTCCGCCTGCCTTCAAGGCGCGTTACGTTGCACGTGGCTTCAGTCAGCGACAGGGAGTTGACTTCTTTCAGACCTTCTCCCCTACCCCGAAGATGACCACTCTTCGGGTACTGCTGCACGTTGCTGCTCAGCGTGACTACAAGCTCCACTCGCTTGACTTCAGCACAGCCTTCCTACAGGGCAGCCTGCACGAGGAGATCTGGCTGCGCCGCCCACCTGGCTTCACTGGGTCGTTTCCTCCTGGTACCCAGTGGAGCCTCCGGCGGCCAGTCTACGGTCTCCGCCAGGCGCCCCGTGAGTGGCACGACACGCTCAGGACGACTCTTGCTGCTCTTGGTTTTGCTCCTTCCACTGCTGACCCTTCTCTGTTTCTACGCACTGACGCTACACTGCCGCCGTTCTACGTTCTTGTGTACGTAGACGACCTTGTCTTTGCTACTGCTGACACGGAGGCACTCGCCCACGTGAAGTCCGAGCTGCAGAAGAGACACACGTGCACAGACTTGGGTGAGCTGACAAGCTATCTTGGCTTGCGGATCACCCGGGACAAAGCACAGCGCACCATTACCTTGACTCAGTCACACATGGTGCAGCAGGTCCTTCAGCGCTTCGGCTTCACGTACTCCTCGCCACAGTCCACTCCTCTGCCTACCGGTCACTCGCTCTCAGCTCCACCTTCGGACGAGTCCGTAGAGCCGAGTGGCCCATATCCAGAGCTTGTGGGCTGCCTCATGTACCTGATGACTTGCACACGACCTGACCTCGCATACCCTCTCAGCCTTCTGGCTCGCTACGTGGCTCCCGGCAGGCACCGAAAGGTGCACTGGGATGCTGCGAAGAGGGTGTTGCGATACTTGTGCAGTACATCGGGCATGGGGCTCGTGCTTGGAGGACGGGCTCGAGTTGTCCTCACTGGTCACGCTGATGCCTCCTGGGTTGACGACTTGGCTACGCAGCGGTCGTCACAGGGTTACACCTTCAGTCTTGGCTCCGGCTCTGTCTCCTGGCGGTCTACCCGCTCTTCTTCTGTTCTCAGCTCCAGTTGTGAGGCTGAGATCTACGCTGGGGCCATGGCTGCATAGGAGCTTCGCTGGCTCACCTACCTGCTGACCGACTTGGGAGAGGCGCCTCGTTCTCCTCCAGTTCTGTACATCAACAACAAGGCCATGCTGGCCTTGTGTCAGGAGCACAGACTGGAGCACAGAACGAAGCACATTGCTCTGCGCTACTTCCTTGCTCGAGAGTTGCAGCAGCGTGGCCAGCTTCGTCTTGCTTACGTGGTCTCTCAGGCCAACACTGCTGATGTTTTCACCAAGGCACTTCAGCCTTGTGATCATCAGCGTTTCTGTACTGTGTTAGGCCTTGTACCTACTGTGCCTCACTTGTTGACTTCTTGACTCTGCTTGTACTGTACTCTATATACTTATACCTGCATGCTTACACTTGCTAGGTTGTGTTCACTGTACTGATTGCTTTCCTTTATATAACTCTGCATGTGAACTGGCCTTATGGCCCTTTGCTTGTGCTCAGACTGTGTGGTGACTTTGTGATCCACCCTGAGCTTGCTTTGCTTTTCTTGACTGGTCTTGTGACCTCTTGTTCTCCCCCACTTTGCCTATGGGGGTGTGTCAAACTTATATCTGCTATGGTCTATTTAGGCTGTAGTGGGGTAGCTCTTAGAGGGTACAACACTTATGTGTTTCCTATTTGTACCCATCTCATTTCTAGTTCATTCATTCTTTCGTCTATCTTTCTCACAATGTAGTTCTAGCTGTAGTGTAGATATTAACTTTATAGGTGGTGCACCTCTTTGTTTGCTATATGTACCCTAGTTCTATAGTGAACATCATTTCCCCATCCCTCTCTCCTTGGCACAAACTACCTCGACTCCCTTGGCCTAGGCTACTAAGCCTAGGCCCTCACTTAAACCTAGGCTTTACTTAGCCTCCTATTCTAACAACGGGTTGTGGCCATGTTCGAGTTTATCCAAAACAGTCTTATATCGGATTTGTAGCTTTTACGAAACTAGTAAAAGCACTATGTCGTGATCGAAAAATTCGAGAAAAAAACGTTTTCTAGTGGTACCTAAACTGTTCCACGTTTCCAGATCCCGGTTGCCATTGTGCTTGAAACAATCTGTTATACCGACGGTTGGACTTGTAGAGTATAAACCGGTGTGTAGATAAACAAATTTCACCCTAAACATATTTCAAACATGAAACTCAGTATCGATATTCTCGATACCGAAGTTTTCGCAAACTGGTTGCGACGTGGTCGCGCAGATCACGTCGCAACCGTTTGCGCGAAAGGTGCACGTCAATTTGACGGCTGCACCTTGACGCTGGCGAGAGCATGTGCCTCGCCAGCTACAATTCACGCACGAATCTGTTCGGGCAGAGAATTGGTTCACGGGCAGGCCGAGCCTAGCCCATGGGGCAGTGGGGGTTGTCTTGCTCGGCGCAAGCTTGCGCCGCTTTTGCGTGGGTCTAGGCGAGCTCGACCAGACGAGCTCAACCTGCCTTTTTCCTCTGGCAAATCCGCTCGACCTGCGCCCACGACTACATAACTTCCCTCTAGCAGCTACGGTTCCGCTCGGCAAAGAGCAAATATGTCTTGCGCTGCTTTTCAATGCCTTCTCAGGAGTCAGCACTCCTTTTTAGTAGTGCCCTCTCAGCACTCTCAACTTGCGGGTCGGATTTTCGAATGCAAGGCAATCCCTTCAACGACAAATGCTCGAAGATGAACAGACACCGCCGTTCTGCCCCTGGACATAGAATTGCGTCACGTGTGAACCCTTCATTCTGTACGACTTGTCGGATGAACAGTATTACTATGAACTGTACTCGCAAAACGCCAAGTTAGTTCGGTTCGTGCTCTCAGCCGGCAGATGTCGTTGCTGGGTGTGTGCAATTTCCAGCCACCCGACCCGACGTTTACACTTCGCTCGACTGCAGCAAGTCCGGCTGCCATTGTGACTCGTTTGTCGCATTCCCAAGGAAGCGGTACAGTACCGGATATCCCGCGCGTGATCCCAAGTTTGCGCAACCCTGGATCATGCACCACAGCCGCAGGCTCGGTTCTCGTTGTGATGTTTTAGTAATGTACAGCACTGTGCGGCTAGTGTAAAATCAACGTTCGAACGTTGGGGTCTGGCCACTGCCACAGAAATGGCTGTGCATTCGGCTCAATGAAGCTACTGTAGTATGTGCGCGATCACACGAGCGGAATATTTGTAACCATGCACGTGAAACCACGCGAGTGTGGTGTAGAATCATCATGCGGTTGAGAAAAGCGGAGAGGGAGGGGGTGGAGGGGGAGTGGCAGTTGGGCGCTCCTTCCTCCCCAGAGGACTTCGGGTCGCGCCCTGAACCCCCGCTGTTCCGCGGGGGCAGCACCAGGCTAACTCCGCTTCACAGGGGGAGAGTCAAAGCGTCAGACGGCTGCGCGGGGTCGCGAGAAATCAGTGGGTGGTCCTCCTATAATAGATAGCCTCCCCTCGGCGTGAATTAGTTCTTTCAGTGGGCACCACCACTTCACCTAGACTATCCTTTCAAAGACAGCCCACTTCCCAGAAGAAACTCCTCAAGTCTTTCATTTCTCCTCTCGCTACGCAGACACACCTCACGGCTTTCACGACTGCGAGAATGGCTTATGCTCGGGTGGCCGTCGTGTTTGCACTACTGCTGCACGCAACATGCCTCTCACCGTCGCTTGGTGTTCTCCACATCCGGCCTCTCAGTGAAGCACCCAGCGCCCGCTACCAGTTAAAAAAGGCCAAGGCGCCTGGTAAGAGTGCCAGCACCCGCTACGAGCGCCTGGCAAGCATCAAACGCAGTCGACTGGTCTGGGGTGTTGTCTGAGGGACCAGCCGCACCCGGATCATGGTCTTGTTTGCGTTAACCATGCTCTTTCCTTTTCCATCCCCTCCTCCACGCGCCCTCCGCCTCCCACCTCCACCAGCCTGTCGGGCGCGTCTTGCGCTGCGCGGTGGACAGCAGCGGCTTCCCCATGCCCGTGCCCTCTTCCCCTTTCCTTTCCCCTCCCCCTCCCCCCCTCTCGCCTCCCCCAGCCGTATGCCCCAGCGACATTGTCTGCCCGTCGGGCGCGTCATGCGTGGTGGACATGTCGTCTCCCCTCCCCCCCTCCCCTCCCCCTCTTCCGCCCTCTCCCGTCCCCCTCTGCCCCCCTCTCCCCTCCCCCAGCCGTATGCCCCAGTGACATCGTCTGCCCGTCAGGTGCATCATGCGCGGTGGGCAGCGTCGGCTTCCCCTTCTGCAAGTGCCCGGTGGGGCAGGCCATAATCAACGGCGCGTGCGGCCCCGCCGCGAGCTGGAGCACGGTGGGCACGAATGTTGTCCTCTACACGCGCGCCAGCTTCGCCAACGACCCGGGAGTCGCGCCCGCTGTGCTGCGCGCGCCGCCGCCCAACACGTCCGCCTGCGTGAACATCCCGTTTGCCTTCCAGGGAGGCCACGTGGGGTCGCTGCGCATCATGTGGAATGTGGATGACGGCGCGCCGGATCACCTGGTGTGCGGCAAGGTGGTGTTTTGGGCCTATGGGGACTGCGTCGGCTCGAGTCAGGTGGTCGAAATTCCCGGCAAGTGGATGGCCGCCAAGCCCGACAACTTCAAATACGCGACTACCAGTTACAAGTGAGTGCCGTGGCGTGGCGCAGCAGCGACGAGTGACTCGCACTGTCTGTGACGCCCTTGCAGTGTTGTTGACTGCATTGACCGTGACTCCGCGTGTGTTGTTGACTGCATTGACCGTGACTCCGCGTGTGTTGTTGACTGCATTGACCGTGACTCCCGCGTGTGTTGTTGACTGCATTGACCGTGACTCCCGCGTGTGTTGTTGACTGCATTGACCGTGACTCCGCGTGTGTTGTTGACTGCATTGACCGTGACTCTGCGTGTGTTGTTGACTGCATTGACCGTGACTCCGCGTGTCTTGTTGACTGCATTGACCGTGACTCCGCGTGTGTTGTTGACTGCATTGACCGTGACTCCGCGTGTGTTGTTGACTGCATTGACCGTGACTCCGCGTGTGTTGTTGACTGCATTGACCGTGACTCCGCGTGTATTGTTGACTGCATTGACCGTGACTCCGCGTGTATTGTTGACTGCATTGACTGTGACTCCGCGTGTGTTGCCTGTTGGGACCGATGCTGTGTGCAGGAAGACATTCAACGTCCTTGGCACGGGCGGGTCCATCTCGTGCCTCGCCGCCACTCTGCCGCCCGTCTCCAACCTTTGTGACACGGTAACCTGCCCGGCCGGCTACAAGTGCTCCATGAGGAACAGCTCCTTTGCTGATTGCAAGTGCAAGGCTGGAACCACCTTGGTCAATGGGGAATGCGTTGGTGAGTCATGCGCTTCCTTGAGTCGTGCACACGTGAATTCACCCATGTGCGTCATGGCAGTTGACCCATGTGCGTCATGGCAGTTGACCCATGTGCCTCATGGCAGTTGTCTCATGTGCCTTTCCTTCCACTAAGCCATCCTGCCCCGGCACCTCTCTCCCTCTCTCCCACTTGCGTCCCCCCTCCCTCTCTCCCTCTGTCCAACGTCACATGCACGCGATAGCATTTGCTCTCATTGGTCCGTTTCTACACCAGATGGCTTTTGAGAATTCTCAAAGTGACATCAGATGGCTTCTTGCACGCACATCCTTGATAACTCCACACCTGGCCCGTCACAGGCTTTGCCCCTATCATTCCTCTCTCTGAATCTTCCACGCCCACCCTCCCTATCCCCCTTCCTCTCCCTCTCCTCTCTTTCTCTCCTTGTTTTCTTCATTTGGCACCTGTAATTCCCCGCCTTAGCTCCCATCCTCATCATGAACCCCCCCACCATCACTCTTTTCCCCTCTGCTTGTGGCCCTTGCGAGGTCACTCTGATGTTTCTGTCATTCACTTCCCCCACACGCCTCTTCTCCCTTCGCTCCCCCTCCCATCACTCTCCATCGCATAACTCTCCCCCGCATGCCTACCTGTCTTACATGTTTCCGCACCCTTAAACGTTTTCCACATTCCTTATATTTACAACATGCTCAGAGAAACTGGTGACACACTTTCTTGCGACTTGAAATCACATCAGAAACCGGTGGCAACCGTACCACTAAATCGAAAGATTTCCATTTATCAAACCTTAAACACCCGCATTTATTATGCCAATTCTTCCTTTCTTCCTTTCCATGCAGATGTGTGCGCTGCCAAGGACTGTGGCGAGGGTGACTTTTGAGTCGACTCAAAAGACAAACCTTGAACACCTACAGCTCCTGCAAAAGACATTTATCATGCCAATTCTTCCTTTCCATGCAGATGTGTGCGCTGCCAAGGACTGTGGCGAGGGTGACTTTTGAGTCGACTCAAAAGACAAACCTTGAACACCTACAGCTCCTGCAAAAGACATTTATCATGCCAATTCTTCCTTTCCATGCAGATGTGTGCGCTGCCAAGGACTGTGGCGAGGGTGACTTTTGAGTCGACTCAAAAGACAAACCTTGAACACCTACAGCTCCTGCAAAAGACATTTATCATGCCAATTTTTCCTTTCCATGCAGATGTGTGCGCTGCCAAGGACTGTGGCGAGGGTGACTTTTGAGTCGACTCAAAAGACAAACCTTGAACACCTACAGCTCCTGCAAAAGACATTTATCATGCCAATTCTTCCTTTCCATGCAGATGTGTGCACTGCTAAGGACTGTGGCGAGGGTGGCACTTGTGTCAAGCTAGCTAACGGCGAACCATATTGTGATTGCAAACAAGGCTACGAGCAGGAGGGGATATCGGGGACTTGCATTGGTACGTGTGCTCATATTGGTGTGCCACTCTCTCGATCGCACTCTTCCCCTTCCTTTTCACTCTTTTCATCTCCTCATTCCCTCTCCCATGCTCTGCCCCCATCCTTTCCCCTCCCCCTACCTCCCCTCCCCCCCCACCTCCCCCCCCCCCCCCCCCCCACCCCTTCTTCCGCACCCCCGCCCATTGCTTCCTTGCTTTCCCGCGTAAATCACACCCATTTTGACATATCCCTCTTCAGAATTTTCTGTCATGCACTAGAGTCACCAATCCCTTGTCTTCCGTTATTTCTTTATGCTGCCGACAGGACAAGGCCAGTGCGACAATTGCCAACGAAGCCTCTGGGGCCCCAACTCTCTACGGTACCCTCACTGCGCCTCTGGCTTCAACATCCGCACTGGTGTTTGCCTGAAAGGTGCGTACAGTAGGTCTTGCAGGCTGTGCATGCCCCATGCGATCAACAGGGTAGCACTTCCTATGCGGCAGGATAGCAATTCTGTTTCACCATCATTTGAGGGAAACGTCTACTGTCAGCATCATTCTATTAGTCTTACACACACTCTCTCTCTCCTCCTCTCTCCACCTCACGAACACTAATTCTCATTCCCCCCTGCTTCCGCCATTCCGTCTGCCTGACGCATTCTCCTCCCCACCACTCCCTTTCATCCAATCCCCTTGCAGGAGTCCGTCCTGACGTGGCAGACATCACCATCAGCGTCTATAGCTCTCTCAACTTCGGCACAGACAACCCGCCTTACATCTTCCGCCTGAAGCCCTACGCGTGTGTCACCATGCCTGACGACGTGGTCAGCTCCGCGCTGTCTGTCTCCTTCATGTATCGCACTCCTGGGTCGTACATGCGATGCGCTAAGCTCCTCTCCTACTACCAGCCCAACTGCGGGGGGGATCCCATCGTTGCAGGCGTGCCGGATGGCAATGATATTGCCCAGGGCCTGGCTCCGTGAGTCTCTCTCTCCCTCTCTCCCTCGCCCCCCCTCTCTCCCTCTCTCCCCCTTTCTCCCTCTCTCCCCCTCTCTCCCTCTCTCCCTCTCTTCCTCTCTCTCCCTCTCTCCCCCTCTCTCTCTCCCTCTCTCTCCCTCCCTCTCTCTTCTTCCATCCCTCCTGTTCTCTCTCGCTACATCTTGTCTTTCCTTTTTTTGTGTGTCTCTGTACATCCTTCAGTTCTATGGCTTCCCTGTGTCCAGCCCTCATCTTCCCAGTATTCTTTGCCATTGTTCCCCAGCGTATGCCTAGAATCTCAAGTATTGCATTTTGTGGATGTTTCAATCTTTGTTTTGTCTTTCTCACACCAGGGAAGTGCGTAGGTGGCAGCTCCATTCTTTTTCGTGTGACTTGTGGTAATTTGGAGGCTCTTCCTAGGGAGACATTGATTGAAGTCCACTTAAGACCTGAAGTCCAATTCAAAGCTTTGAAGAAGGCTGGGAAGTCTGATGCCCTAAACCCTGATCGGTCAAGTTTGAAGTTCAGCCCTTCTGGCAACAAGCAGATCTTTGCTAGGAGCTTCCCTCCCTCTTCCCCTTCTTCCCTCCCTCTCCCCCTTCTTCCCTCCCTCTCCCTTACTCCCCTCTCTGTCACTCTCCTCCCCTCTGTCCTTCCTCTCCCTTCAAATTTAACTGGATCGGTACCGTCATCGCCCGGATATAAGACATATATGTCTTATCTCGTACACTGGCAAAAATGCTTGGGTTGTCTTGTATTTGGGATGGTTTACGGTGTCTTATAAGTCTTATAAATGGACAAAGAACCATTTAGAAGATACCCCCTCGTTATACAATTGCCCCTAACCCCTACACTGGCTAAACTCGTACACACAAATAGGTGTCTTATAATGAGGCCACCCCGTTTATAAGAGACATCCGGATAATGGACACCCCCTGTCTTCTATTCAACACAGTCTTAAATCCGGGTGATGACCGTATCATTTCTTCCCCATTGAGAAAGCTTGCTTTCTGGTTCTTGCCAGGCAACGTGCTTCATTTGAATTGGGTAATTACAACATTCTCGTCCCACTGAAACATTACATTACATAGTTATCAACTAGGGGTGGGTGGGGGGGAAGCGGAACTGTAAAGTTCCGAAAATGAAGACGTGGGTGGAGGCCAAATGGCCTCCATCCCTCGTTATGTACTTGGGAATAGGCATTCGCAGTTGCCTTGCTTCGATACAGTCAGCTGCGCTTTCATAATACATATTTTTAGAAAGTTTTTCACACTTTCAAGAAAAATCATATTGTAGAGGCCCATGTGTCTGAACTGAACTCAACTAGTTACCCACTGCATACAAATCAATCCTACACTTTGCAGAAACATCAATTATGGTGAAGAGCAGTCAATCACACTGAAGAGCATTGCACCGCACACGTTGTCAGAGGTCCACCGGTGATCCCCGATTGATCCTAGGGAAGGGTTACAGGCTCGTTGTCCTGGGGGTTATGAGCGCACTGACCCGCTACTTAACAAGCCATTTTATCCCAACAGTCTAGTGGTTGGGATTCTGACACACGTCGGACAAGAGGTTTGCCTGGAGGCTATAGGAACATGCTCTTACAATTGTATGTTTGTACAGCCACAAACTGTCAGCCTAAGGTATTTCATGGCCATGCAATAACCAGCGCATTCGCATCATCGCAGAGGCATGACATAGCCACCTCTTTTCACGACAGCCCCACACGCCCCATCACTTCTCCCAACATTCTGTCAGAAATAGGAACTTAAGAATGACTAGAATGATGGAGAGAACAGGATTGTATAGCCAACCCTAAAATGTTGTACCCTTTAGGGTATGCCCCAGTACAGCATACAGAACAAATACAATTTGGCACACCCCCATAGGCAAAGTGGGGGATAGCAAACACAGCGGATGGTCACAAGACCAGTCAAGCAAGAGAACAAAGCAAAGCAAAGGTCAGGGTGGATCTCAAGATCACCACGCATTCTGAGCACAAGCAAGCGGCCACTAGGCCAGTTCACATGCAAAGTTATAAAAGCACAAGCAGTACAGTGATCACAACCCAGCAAGAACAAGAACAAGCAGTGATATATATATATAGATCACAGTACAAGACAAGTCAAGCCACCAGCAGGTGAGGCAGAGTAGGCACAAAGCCTAGAGCAGTGCAAAAATGCTGATAATCACCAGACCCAAGGGCCTTGGTGAAGACATCAGCAGTGTTGGCCCAAGAGGCTACGTAAGCAATGGGCAAGCTGACCACGCTGCTGGAGCTCCCGAGCAAGAAAGTAACAAAGAGCAATGTGCTTCGTTCTGTGCTCCAGTCTCTGCTCCTGACACAAGGCAATCATGGCCTTATTGTCAACGTACAGAACTGGAGGAGAACGAGGCCGCTCACCCAAGTCGGTTAGCAGGTAGGTCAGACAGCGTAACTCCTGTGCAGCCATGGCCCCATCGTAGATCTCGGCCTCACAACTGAAACCAAGCACTGAAGACGAACGAGTGGACCTCCACGAGATAGAACCAGAGCCGAGACTAAAAGAGTAACCTTGGGACGACCGCTGAGTCGCCTGGTCGTCAGCCCAAGAAGCGTCGGAGTGTACTGTGAGTACCATTGGACCCCGTCCTCCAAGCACAAGCCCCATGTCCGATGTAATGCACAAGTAACGCAGTACCCTCTGCGCAGCTATCCAGTGCTCCCTCCTGTGTCGCCCAGGGATGACAAAGCGAGCAAGGATGCTGATAGGGTACGTGAGGTCAGGTCGTGTGCACGTCATCAGGTACATGAGGCAGCCCACAAGCTCTGGATACGGGCCACTTGGCTCTACGGACTCGTCCGAAGGTGGAGCTGAGAGCGAGTGGCCAGTAGCCAGAGGAGTGGGCTGTGGTGAGGAGAACCGAAAGCGGAAGCGCCGAAGGACCTGGTGCACCATGTATGACTGGGTCAGAGTGATGGTGCACCGTGCTCTGTCCCGGGTGATCTGCAAGCCAAGATAGCTACGCAGCTCACCCAGGTCAGTGCAAGTGTGTCTCTTCTGCAGCTCCGCCTTCACAAGGGCCAGCGCCTCAGTGTTGGCAGTAGCAAAGACCAAGTCGTCGACGTACACGAGGATGTAGAACGACGGCAGAGTAGGGTCGGTGTGGAGAAACATCGACGGGTCAGCAGTGGAAGGAGCAAACCCAAGAGCCGCAAGTGTCGTCCTCAGTGTGTCGTGCCACTCGCGGGGCGCCTGGCGGAGGCCGTAGA